TAGGCTAATATTTATATGAGTGTTGGACTCCCTATACCAGTTGCGGGGGCAACTGTGAGAAATAATAATGTTAATTTTAAATGGCCAGCGAAGCGGACGGGTGCAGCTAGTACCTAATATAATGAAACTGCACAATAGTCGGTATTGCGACGCTCCACACTCCATACGCATTAATAGAAAATCGATCTATCGACGTTTCGCACTTACTTAAAGGGTTAATAAACGCGACATTAAACCGTAAAAATAGTTTTAATTACCATTAAAATAACTCTTAAATTGAAATTATTGAAGAATGCAAATTTACCGTTAAAAGCGTTTATTTTCCCATCGGATTACGAAGCAGACGATCATTTTATGGCTTTGAAACGAATCCAAACAAAAGTAAAATCGAACGCAGCTTCACGGAATTGCTCTTACAAACGATCGAAAGTTTAGTTTTAAAGCTTTTAAATGGAAGCGGCTCACGAGATGTCATAGGTAGTTTTTCAATTACAGCACAAGAGCGCATTATGCGGCATAATGCTCAACGTTGAATGTTCCAACTACAGCAACGCTTCGCACAGTCGAGCACTCTCAAAAGTACTGCTCTCGCGTGATACTCGCAATCGATACCGACTCAGTGACAGAAAATTGACGAGTGTTTTTTCTTTAAGTTGGCATTGATCGAAATTTTGTTTATATTATCGTTAGTAATATTATTTAATGTTGAAAAAAATTGTAAGGCTTTCGTTTCGTCGTAGTTTCTTAGAAATAATCAATGTTAATTAAAACTGTGCTGACTTAGCGCACTCTGCTGATGCATTTGAAAACTAATTCACGTTCCAATTAAGCTTCAGCATAATTCGGCATTGTGCGCCACTGAGTCGCATTATGCTCTGTAATTGGAAAACTACCATAGATACTCATAAACGTTTAACATTTTCTTTAAAGTCATTTAGAATGTACTAGTGGTCCTGCAGTAGTCGAAATTCGACTATAATTAATTGAAATTATAAGTTTCAACATTATTATGGTCCTATTGTTACAGATTTCGCCAAGACTACACTATAGACAAGTACTCGTAATATTAAAGATAAACAATACTAACCTATTTTCAATTTGACTACAGACTTTAAGCAATAACAAAAGTTTCACAATACTTCAGTGCAACAAACAAAGAGTATATGTGTGTGTGTGTCAAATACATGGTAGTGTGTGTAATGTTTTCTTTATTGATTTAATGTATCTTTTATGCATTATTTAAAAAAAATATTAGCAATGTGCGCACTTCTTCTCTATATTCTCTATAAGTGTGGAAAATTTCCTACTCCTCCGTCCGCGCAATTTTTGTAAAAAGGAATACAAAGTTTTTGCTTCACGTATTAATATATAAATGTATTCATGAGTATGGATTCGTTGTGATAAATATCTTCGTTTTAACATCTAAACCGAATGTATTCGATTTTATCAATCTCCTTATCAGCTCAGAATCTGGAGATGGATTACTTACATTGTTTTACGTTGACGTTGATTTCAACTCGAAGGTTAACGTTTGGTAATCTTCGCTAACTTAACATCGAAACATCTAGAAAAGTCTGATTCTAACAAATGATTTCAGATGATTTCAATCGATATAAGTCTATTAATACGATGAACATTGAAATGATGCAATTATTTATTCTGGTCTTTCTTCAAACATAGTTTGTTAAAATTATTCAGCGGTGGGTAGTGAGTTTGCTGTGCCCCTGGCATGGTTGACGTCCATGGGCGACCGCTCACCATCAGATGGACCGTATGCTCGTCTACTTACAATGGCAAAAAGTTTTATTTTACATACATACATATTTTACAAACATAAAAATGATTTGTAAATTTTGTAATAATCTATTTATTTGATTATACCCATATTTAATTCATGCGGACAACGTGGTATTCACCTGTAAGAAAGTGAACATAACCAATTTAATTTGATCTTGCATCGGTACTAATCGTTACGACAAGTAAACATACTTTCACGGGCAAAAGTAGCACCCAGCTCCGATGACACGGGCAGAAACACATTATAATCACATTCGCTGAATGAATCACACGTCTTGGCGCACGCTCAACTTATTCATTCTCCAAAATTACGCACGTTTTTAAATAATCATTTATCTTTTAGTCGAAAACTATTTTTGAAAACTTCTACGTTCACACTTCAGGTATCCTGATAAATCGGACTTTATTGTAGGAAACGACTTAAATCAGTCTCTTCCTGTACAATGAGACACCACTTCAATATCATTAGTCATGTTATACACACGTCGTATGAATAGAATATAACACATACATGTCTATACTGACCATATATTACTTAGACACTGACTATGTAGGTACTAGGCACATACGATAGTTTAGTCACTTGTATGACATTTTCCATTTTTGAGATTTGAAAAAAGTCCTCACTAGTAGGTGAGAATAGGAGGTGAGATTTTTTAATTTACTCACCTATTCGCTGGTAGCCAAGGGTGCTATTCTAGCTACGATCGGACGGGTAGATGAGCTCACGGACTCAACCTGAGAGAATTTGCTAACTTTCGTTAAATCTACCAACGAATCGGAATCGCGACCCACTGAAAAGATCCCGCGAGAAACTTAGCGGGCATGAGATAATAGAAGAGACTAGCCTGTGCTCTTGGCGCTACCGATATATCTATGTGTGCTGGTGACTAATAAGCATCAACTAAATCGAAAGCTTCAAGTTAAGTCTTAAAGACAATAAAAATAATAGAAAACAACCTAAGATAAATACATAAGTAGAACAATAACTTAAGTAGTGTTTCTGTAAATTCGACATTTATATTCACAGGATTTATTATTGTAATAATTTTACAAATGAAAGTTTTATGATTTTCCAGCCACGCTTAAGTTTTAATAATGATTACTATAAATTAATAAGATAATGATTTAGCAATTATTGAACTAGAAAATAATTTAGATACGCAACTATGCTTACAAAGATATTCGGTTAGCTGTGTCAATCGAATAATTTAAATTAAACAATATATTACGTAATTTGGAACAGAATTCACGAAATAATCAAGGAAAATAATAATTCATTGTAATAATATCCAAGTTTAACCATAATAATAATAATTCGTAGACAACGTCACTAGCAGGAATATGCTTTTTCAAAATTACATTTTTAATTAGATTTTAATAAATATAGTAAAGTAATAATAATAAATTACCCTTAGAATACTCAAACAAACTTATCAAAGCCCCACATGACTACGATAATAGGATGTGAAGCAACGATATTACCCAACTTGCCCATGTAAATGAATTTCCGACACGAACCACGTTCTTCGACGATTGTACACTATCTATCTATCTATCTACCTATAATGTAACTATGGTTCGCCCAATGATAGAAATTTAAGAAGAGAATATTACATTCTGAAAATGTGTTATACTAATTTTATGCATTTTTTTATTATTAAGAATTCGAATTTAACATAAGTCTTAATCAAAATCTTGATGACCGTAAAATTTGCGTTGATAACGACAAAAATAAAATCAATTGATGAACACAGGAGAACATAGTAACTAATAGTTTTTTAATTGCCTATTTATTGTAATACTAGCGACCCGCCCTCGCTTCGCTTCGGAAACATTAAAACACACATGAAACCAAAAAAAATAATTAAAAAAAAAAAAAAAAAAAAGTAGCCTATGTTCATCAGGGACAATGTCGGCTTCTAATGGAAAAAGAATTTTTCAAATCGGTCCAGTAGTTTCGAAGCCTATTCGAAACAAACAAACAAACAAATCTTTCCTCTTTATAATATTAGTATAGATAAAATAAATTGATGTAATAAAAACAATTTGAAAATTCGTATCAGATTGATGACGATTATTTATCAGTACCATTATTGACAGAATTAAAAAAATAAGTAGGTAACAAAAATGTCATCTCTTACTGATTTTCCATTATTAATTCAATAGAGAACTGTGATCGTCATCGTAGCCAAATTGGATAAGTGGCTTTTTCCGCATTTCCAGATATGCGATCTCATTTGACCGCATTAAAAATGCCTTGAATTTTCTATAAAAACAAATACATCTGTAAACGTGGTTGGAATTGAAGTTGGCGTGTACTAAATTGGAGACATTATTAAACTATTAGTGCGTAATGCAACTTACGAGTCTTGATAAAATACTTCTAAGAGTTATTTCAAGTAATCTTTAAACCGACGCTATCACGAACACATAAATATACTCGTAGCTTGATGTAAATATTTAGAATGCATTAACTGAACTGTTTCTTCAAGCAGATTAAGTAATGTACATAAAAAACTGCTTTTTGTTTTTAAAACTCAAGGTATTCATTTTGAATTACGATGATCAGAAATAATTGAAATAGATCTAGCTATATTTAGCATACCAAATGAAACATTACTAGCCGATGATCTCTATGTAATATGGCTATTTGGTATAAGGGACATTTTTTAAACTTTATAAGAGAGCCATTTAAATTTTGAAATTTGGAAAAAGTATCATAACAAAAAAAACTTCTTCAGCTATTCGAATGGGCTAAACTTAATTAAAGCTCAATTAAAAACATCGGACTGTTGATGCTAATACCAAATAAAACGCACCTTTAATTACAAAGATAAATTCATTACTGGTGGTAGGACCTCTTGTGAGGACTCACGCGGGTAGGTACCACCACCCTGCCTATTTCTGCCGTGAAGCAGTAATGCGTTTCGGTTTGAAGGGTGGGACAGCCGTTGTAACTATACTTGAGACTAGAAGTTATATCTCAAGGAGGGTGGCGCATTTACTTTGTGGATGTTTATGGGCTCCAGTAACCACTTAATACCAGGTGGGCTGTGAGCTCGTCCACCCATCTAAGCAATAAAAAAGGAAGATTTAATGTCGCTTAAACCAAAAATAGCCTTTCACCCCTAGATATCTTAGTTCAGTAAAAAATCATTTAAAATTCGATTTTGTAAGTAAGTTTTTGTTTGTTCTTATAGGTACAACTTCTACAGCAACAAGTGACGTCATTAGCTGACACTCAGAGCACTGCAGACGAGCGATACGCAAGAGCCAAAGCTGAGAACGCAGTCTTGCAAGCAAGAGTGCACATGTTGGACGAACAGATAAGAGAGGTACGTACGGCAAAACTAAAATAGCTATGAAAAATATAATAAAGTTTAAACATCAAAGATAAACCGTGTGCGAACGCATAATAATAATAATAATAATAAGCCTTTATTGCTGTTCTTATTTTTACAAACTATATCAAATTACTTAAACATGCCAAAACTTAAATACTAAGTTCCTTATGGAATTAAATTAAATATCGGCAAACGGTGGTTGTGGTATCGCAGCTTGTCCTTCGACAAAGGCATACATGACCAATAAATATAACATAATAAGCCTATTAATTTGTATTTGTGAAGTTATCGAAGTTTTTCCCTGGGTTTTACTTGGACTGTTACTACTTTTACTAACCGGGCGTAAAAATTTAACGCCGAGCAACGGGCGGCGGTCAACTAACCCGAACTAGGGCTTCAGTAGCCCAGAGAAACTAAATCGCCCCTGAAATTTTGCTGTGGAAGGACGCGGAAACCCACCACTAGCAATTTTCCCAAGAAAACCTTTACGTATGTATTCCGTAAAGGTCACGATCCTCAGCACTGAGGAACATGACGCACGGAGGATTACTACTTCACTGGAACATTTGTCAATATTGAATAATGTTTGAGATGCCTACAAATGAACCTGACAATAAACGATCTAGCTAAAAGAGATTATATTGTTTTGTTTAAAAATAGACTTTAGGTACAAACAGAGTGCTATTCATATTTGATATAATTATTTTATAGATTGAAAGCCGATGCGAAGAGAGTATAGCAGAAGAAAAACGACGTAGCAGAGAAGCAATAACAAGAATTGAACGGGACAGGGATTCACAAATAGCTGCTCTCACCGACAGATTGACCGCCGCCGAGACCGAAGCGTCGCATCTTAAACAAGAGGTCAGTAATATGGTCTATGCTCAGTTTGAAGTAAGTAATTGGGGTGAGTGACTAGTATTGGGGCAGCGTAGCGCGACAGCGATCTGTTGTATATTTGGCTTTTATGATCTATAACGATACGAGAACCCGAAACTTCGCACTACAATATGAACACCTTAAGACGTTAAACATTCTCCCGATCCATTAACTGTGCTTTTAGGTACCACAAGCACCGGTCACCGTCCTCGCCGAACTGTCGCTTGCAACGAAGGGCTCGACAAGTACATTAACCCATAGACACAGCCCAATGAGTTTCTCGGCGGATCTTCTCAGTGGGTCGCGTTTCCGATCCCGTGGTAGATTCTGCGAAGATCTTGCTAGAGCTAGTGTTAGCAACGCTTCCGGTTTGAGCCCCGGGCTGACCTAAATGTTAGGGTGAAGCTGAAATAGCCTCTCAAGGCTATTAGCATATATAGTTGAACCTCACTACTGTCGATGCAGGTCGGCCGTCTGCGCGGCGTGGCGGAAACGCTGCAAGCGAACGCGGAAAACTTGTCGCGGGCACACCGCGAGGCGCAGGAGCAGGTCGGCGACCTGGCAGCGCAGCTGAGCGCGGCGCGCGAGGCCGAGCGCCGGGAGCGGGAGGCGGCAGCGGCGGCGGGCGTGCTGCTGGCGGCCGCGCGGCGCGACCTGCTCGCCCTACGAGACGCGCCGCCGCCGCCGCCGGACCCGCGCCTCGACGAACTCACCAAGGAGCTCGTGCTGCTACGGACACAGAACAAATGTAAGACGATCACACTCTCCCTAACACCGCGGTTTGAAGGGTGGGGCAGCCGTTGTAACTATACTTACTGGTGGAAGGACCTCCGTAAGTCCGCGCGGGTAGGTACCACCGTACTGCCCATTTCTGCCGTGAAGCAGTAATGCGTTTCGGTTTGAAGGGTGGGGCAGCCGTTGTAACTATACTTGAGAGCTTAGAACTTATATCTCAAGGTGGATGGCGCATTTACGTTGTAGATATCTATGGGCTCCAGTAACCACTTAACACCAGGTGGGCTGTGAGCTCGTCCAACCACTTAAGCAATAACAAAAAATAAAAAAACCCGTTTACTTCTTATTAGCATAAAGATTGACTAACACAAAACCTGTCAAAAGAGAATACTCACTCAATACATGGACAATACTGTAATTGACGATTTATTAAAAGAAATACCTTTCTTCTTCGTCTAGCATTCGAATGGTCACTTAAATTAGTCGTCCACTAATAAGTAAGCATATATAAAGAAGAAATGCTATATGCTTGAGTGAGCTGAAAGAGACCATAAAACTGACTCAGTGCCGCTTCTAAATGTAGATAGTAGTAGTAGAACTCACTAACTTAAAATGCCATTAATGATATTATAAAACTATAATCGATTACAAAAACTAAATTATAATCGACAACAATCATTCGAAGTAATACTTAAATTATAAAAAATTCGTCTCCGAATCTTATTACAGCGTATTTTTAATTGGTGAAAGTTGTGTGTAATTACTTGTAAGCCAATACACACTTCAAATTTTTACTCAACCTCTAAACCTAATTTATCGAGCCCCAATCGACGGTACGTATAAAGAGTCGTGTCCAAAATCACGTTTTTTATTATTTCATAATCATTTTCTATTTGTCAATACGCATATTACCATGTATATATTTTTTATTTTTTAAGTAATATTTCAAAAGATAAATAAACGTATGAGACGTCCACTTTTAAAAATAAAGACTTTGTTGATGTAGATACAGTCATCTTTACATTAACTTTTATACGGTCTTTAAAGTTATATTATTATTATTTCATAGTTGTGGTAGACACAGTCGTCTAACTACTTATCCGGGAAAATAGAGGATATTATAAATAATTATATTATATACCTTAATAATTATATTATATTGTATACCATTAGAACCGGCCTAAATTGAATACTTGAAATCAATAATAAAAGATAAAAGTTACTTTTATGATTGAATTACACATGATTTTGAAACTTTAAAACGTTTTCCTGTAAACCACCATTTTTGACATGACGCTTTGTACGTAGGAGCCGTCGCAATGGATTTGAAACTTCTATTCGCGTATTAACATTGTAGTGTATAACATGAGATCCGATAATGCCCTACATCAGATGCATCTCTTTTATCCATCTTGACTAATGTAAAAAGCAAGTCTCAACGAATATAAATACTCATTAAAAACTCTATTGTTTAACGGGTTCGTACAACGATGATCTCTACCCGTTATCATGGCGCTTGCAACAGCGCGGAAATATCTGAATATCCGGTCACCGTCCTCGTCGAACCCGTCGCTTGCGACGAAGGGCTTCCCCAGTGAATTAACCCATAGACACAGCCCACTGAGTTTCTCGCCGGATCTTCTCAGTTGGTCGCGTTTTCGATCCGGTGGTAGATTCTGCGAAGCACTGCACTTGCTAGGGCCAGTGTTAGCAACACACCCGGTTTGAGCCCCGTGAGCTCACCTACACGTCAAGGAGAGGCTGATATAGCCTCTCAAGGCTATCAGCATAGGTAGGAGAAAAAAAATCCGAATAAAAATTATTAAATATATTTTAAAAAAGCCGTGGTAAAAACCCGCTATAATAGCGTTTATAAAGTAGATAGCCGCGAAACTTTGACGCAATTGAATTTTTCGAACGCAGCACTATCAGAAGCTCAAGAGGAGCTACAAGCCCAGATCCTGACCCGTGGAGTTGAAGAAGGCCGCAGCCTGCTGGACGGGGTGAGCGGTCCGCTGGTCGCAACCAACTCGCTGGCCCATGAACTCTCGCAGATGAGCGATGACCAGGCAAGTACCCACCGAATACATTCACATACAAATCGATGACGGTATTGTCTTAAATGAAAACACGATATAAATGCCTATTTCTGCCGTGAAGCAGTAATCCGTTTCGGTTTGAAGGACGGGGCAACCGTTGTAACTATACTGAGAAATTAGAACTTTTATCTTAAGATGTGTGGCGCATTTACGTTTGTAGATGTCTATGGGCTCAATAACCACTTGACACCAAGTGGGCTGTGAACTCGTCCACACATCTAAGCAATAAAAAAAAAACGATGACACCAATAAATTTTTCTTAGTTTACATGTAAAGAAATTATACGCAATACCAACACTTCGTTTGAATTAGGTCACTGACCTCATCTCCATATACAGGGTGGGTTTTTTTTTTATTGCTTAGGTAAAATCGGGTAAAATCATGAAATAAAAAATAATAATGTGTTGTGCTTAAATTTTAGAGTTTATTGAAATTGTATTTGGTATGCGGCCTCCAAACTATACGCGCTATACGCGCGGTTTGATTTTAAGATGGTACCGACATCTCTACCTCATAACACGCTTTATAAACTCATCACATAAAAATTTTGCTTAGACTACTCATCAAAAAAATAATGGCACATTATAGAAACAAAAATTTTTAACATTGCTCACCATCAAAAGCATAAAGTCGGATCTATTTTTTATTCTTAATTTTTTTACATAATCATAAGTGATTTATTTCGTAAACTCTAACCGTAAAATTTTCGCATCGCTAGTTAGTACGTTCATAAATCATTAATCATGATTTTGTACCACTTGATAATATTTTATATATTAAATAATGATGGGTTAACAGAAGAACCAATAGGTAACATTACATCATGAAAGTGAATCTCATAACCCAGATAATTATTAACACATATTTAGAATAACTAGTGATCGCCCGGTAGTGGAAATTTGACTATAATTAATTTAAATTATAAGTTTGAACATTATTAAGGGTCTGTTAACAAAGACTATCATAGACCTTTATAATAACAAATTTCCAGGCTACACTATAGACAAAAAATATTAATCAATTCTGAATTTGACCACAGACTTTAAACAATAAACAAAAGAGTATTTATGCACGTGTGTGTCAAATAGATGGTAGTGTTTGTAATGTTGCACTCCTTTTCTAAATTCTCTATAAGTGTGGTCTTCTAAATTCTCTATTTCATACTCCTCCGTCCGCGCAATTTTCGTAAAAACAAGGAGTACTAAGTTTTTTCTTCACGTATCAATATATAGAATAGATAATAACTGGGAACAAATCACGTACGCTCATCCAGCCCCAAATTAGGATTCCCAGTGTTATGGGTACTGGAAACATACTTATATATGTTTAAATATATACACATGTAGATAATAAAAACCCAGACAAAGAGCAAAGAAACCTTCACACGTGTTTGCCCGATGTGGGAATCGAACCCACGACCCTCAGCGCAACAGTCAGGGTCGCTAATCACTGCACCACCATAGTCAATCATATTTCATGAAAAACAGTTTAGATCATTCGCGTATATCATCATTTCGAATCCGCTAATTTGGCGATCTTCCAGTTTTCGGTTTAATCCAAGCTTCATTCGGTATTCCAGGGTTTACGAGGAATCGGTCTCGAAAACAGACTGGGATTTAATAATTGAACTTACAATACAAACACAGATAAACTAAACATACTATTTCTTTTTTGTAATATTGCGTTACTTACAATTTTTGTGATTATTTATGTTCTGGTGGTATGGTCTTTTGAGCTCGCACCGGCAGGCAACATCAGCCGCGCCTTTTTCGCCGCGAAACAATAAGGCGTTTCGGTTTCAAAGATTTTTGATGTATATGAGCTCAGATAACCACTTAACGCCATGATGGGGCATTTACGGATCATATTGGCTGTGAGCTCGTCCACCCAACAACGTAATAAAAAATAATAATGAAAGACGCAAAAAACAGAAGTTTTCCGACTATGATATTTAACTATAACTATTATACAATTTGTTTTCGAGAACGTTGCCCTCAAACTCTACATATCATGTCGAAGTATTGATTATTGCTTTGCTTCATGCTTTTCATGCAAATCGTATATCTTTATTGTTATGTATGCATTTTTGCAGCTCGAAGGTAGCCAAACACAAACCGAACACGACATAGAGTTGGAAAAGGTACGATATTTTTAATAACTGTGCATGTTCATTTCAGCAAACTAACTTGCATGCTTCGTGATACGCGTTTAACTAAAGTACCTTTTTCACACTTTATATTGTTTTTGTATCACTAAACTAACATACAAATTTATCATTTAGAAACACAGTTTGATGTTGCACGGTTTTGATGTTGGAAATTTGTATATATATTTTTTTGTGATGGCAACATTTTCTTGAAACTTTTTTTTTCCTCAACAGTTGCAGAAAGCTTTAAAAGAACAACAAGACGTGAACGTACAACTGAGGAATTACATCGACGGTATATTATTGGCGATCGTCGAAAACTACCCACAACTGCTCGAAGTCAAGTATCAAAAGCAACCGCCCGAAAATCTATCATAACATCAGTACGTTGCCATTTTACTTCCATTCCTTTGTATAGCGTATTCACGTGAAATGAAATTATTGTTTTGGATGTTACAGCGAAATTCATTTTATCTAATCTATGTATTCGTGTAATGGATGTTCAAAATTAAATTGATACTGTGATAAATGAAAATGAAAAACGTGTGCTTTCTTCATGTTTAACGATTTATCTTTTTTACAGTAAAGATTAAAATAAATATATATAGTATGTATATCGACGCTTGAAAGGCAAACGTGACTAAGCGACAATAACTGCTTTGTACATAAATGATAGGCAATAACTATATTCGATGCGCAAAAAAAAAAAATATCTAGGTCTATTAAAATCATTTCAATCCTACAGCTACTAGCTAGATTCTACTACAGCTAGATTCATTAAAATAAATTTTGTTTTTAGGTAAATCAACTTGAAATTATTCTACTGTAAAGTTCACGCATTGTCGCTTAGTCACGTTTGCCTTTCAATCGTCGATATGTATTTTCAAATTTATAGAGAACCTAGTTATTAATTATAAAAATGATATATTTTTTTTCTTGTAAATATAGTTAGAATGTTTTAAGTCGTAATGGAAAAAAAATGTTATTTTATTTGTTCAATAATTAAATAATAAAAACTATAATTTTGCTTATATAAATATATATATATATTATATGTACATTAAATTTAAGAATAATTTATATATATAAATTTATAATGATCTGTGCGACTAATAAGTTTAATGAAAGGCCAGGCCGTCCATAACGCTATTAATTCGTTACTACTTAATACAAATATTATTAAAAAGACTGGTACATAGATAAAATCCGGTGCAGAATTATATTTAGTTCCTGTAACGTGTCGAGTTACGAGTGTGTCGCTATTATTCTATGAATCTTTCAATGTTATTTATGACGAGGTTTGAGTATATGCAGCCAATTAATAAAATGTATGCGTTAAACTGCAATATAAACCTCGTTTAAGCATTGGTCATTCTGCGTAATTTTGATTCCTCTGTCTAACCATATATTATTATATAACAAGCCGTACTCACCCGCTTCGATGGGCATTTAAAATTAACATTATTGTGTATTGTCATTATTATTAGGGAGTCGAACACTAATATAAATATTAGCCTAACCATTAAGTACATGTATTTTCTACATGGATACCAAGTTTCAAGTCAATCCGATGAATGGTTCAGTATTTATAACGGAACATCCGTAAAAGCAACTTTAGATTTATATATTAGTATAGATTGTACGAACGACGCTTGAAGTTTTCATCTATACATTTACCTCCAAAACTACTACAATATTGGACACCAGTCGAAAAAACTCAAAAAATAATGATCCTGACATATAATTTGATACGACCTGGTATCAGAACGCTATAACAAACTGGTCGGTCTTATTCCACAGTATACGCATTAAACTGTCTTCAAAGATTATAAATTGACCAGAGCGTACGAGAAACTATTTGTTCCATTGCGCCGTTCGCTAACTACCCGACTGAACTGTAGCGCGTTTATTTTGTATTGTACTATTTATAATTAAATCATTTATATTGAGCCCAAATAAACAAAAAAATATTAAACTATGTAGATACAATTAATCGTCCGGGTGCAGAAAGAATTCGTTCCAATCGAACCCAAAAGTACATTCTAATTATATGAAATGTTTTTAAATTTATTATTTAAAAAAAATTGTCTATTCTATCTATAAACGAAGCATTTAAAAAACATTAAAAGAAGAAAAATAGATATGCCCATCAGAAATGTAATTACGTCAACTTAAAAATAAATTTTATAAATTCGCTCGTAATTGTATTCGATCGGATCGGATTTGCTGAACAATCGGACAAATAATAATAGGCCAAAGGAATCAAAGTTGTGCATTTTGACTACAACTATAGTGTAGAATATAATTTAAAAAAAAACTGTACCTATATTTTTACAATGAGATATTTAAAAAAATCTTTAGTAGCATGTAGTTATAGTTAAGTTTGTGTACATTTTGATAACATATTGAATAAATAATAAACAAACAAAAAATACATTCTGTAACATCAGAGTGGAATTAAATGAATTAACATACACATAAAATTCAGTCTTTTATTTTGTTTATACATTGAACACACATTTAGTCTTCATCGGAATGACCGTATTTAATATCGCCATTTTTACTTTGATCAATATTACTCAATACTTTCTGAACGTCCAAACGTAACATCATGAACTTGGGGTCCATGTAATCCTGAAAAAATAATAAACAATTAAAAAATGATGCTCCTGAAAGCAGTGAAACTTCTTTTCCGGTGCATAGTATTTTTTTTTAATTGCCCTTGTAGGCAGACGAGCTTACAGCCCACCTGATGGTGAGTGGTTACCGTCGCCCATGGACTTCAGCAATGCCAGGGGCAGAGCCAAGCCGCTGCCTACCGCTTAATACTCTCCACAAGCCTCGTTTGAAGAAGGACATGTCATAGCGCTCGGGAAACACCGTGGAGGGGAGCTCATTCCATAGCCGGATGGAACGTGGCAAAAAAGATCTCTGGAAACGCACTGTGGATGACCGCAGTGGCTCCAGGTAGTATGGATGAACTCTACTCCGGTGGCGGGCGGTGCGATGGTAAAAACAAGATGTCTGTATCATCTCGAATAATTCCTCAGAGCACTCCCCATGGAACCAAGTATTGTGGTTTTCATCATTTTTCATCCTTAAATCAAATTTCTCTTGTAATAGAGAATTCTGTGTATAAGAGAAACGACCTAGCTAGCTTTGTCCGTTCCCTCTTTCCACGGTCGAGTGGTTCGCGAGACGCTCGGTCTATCTTCTCACTCTCGCTCTTCCTAAATTGTATCTTTCCTCTCTAACCGTAATGAATTTCTCGCGAGATAAATTTTACTATCAACGCGCCAAAGACGTTTCACTCCAAAAAAAAACAAGATGCGAGACGTACTCGAATCGTTCCAAAAGCGCGTAACGTTCTCACCTTAAAAGCTCCAGATCCCAATTGAGATTCAGCGTTTTGTATTGTACCATCGAGAGCTTCGCCCCCAACAAACCTATTAACTTCACTTACGTCACTAACACCGGGAGTGTGTCTTAAACTAAAATTAGCACTCATCAAATGGGCCATCTCTTGTTCGATGGCGTTCATGGCCGAGCTCACGTTGGGCTTCGTTGGATCCCTCGAAACCGATACATTAAGGTACGAATCTGGCACGTTATAGTTAGTTTCCAAACTGAAAGGTAAGTTTTGGGTGGATTTGCACAGAGAACACTGCTTTCCCTCGATCTGCCTCCTCTCGTTGTGCAAGTTCAGCCTTTCTCTGGACAGAGCCACCTTCTCTCTGGCGATCTGCTTCTCGCGAGCGTTCAGCGAAACCACATGCTCATGTATCCTCCGTATTCGCTCCTCGTATTTTCTCTGTAAGAACTCCGCCTCAGAATACTTCTTGTCGGCTTGGGACTGTTTCTCAATCGCCGTTTTGGCTAGCAAGTCCAGATCACGACTTCTGAAAGTGCAAAATCAATTACATAGGATTTCTCAAAAAAAGTCCATCATTATTATTAGTTATATATTGGTGTGCAATAAAGTGTATTCTCTATATACTTGGCAACTGTTCTCTGTTCCTCCATGTGCACTTGTTGCTTTTCAACATTCAACTTAGTTCTCTCCTCAGTCAGTTCTTCAAGTTGCGCTTGCAGTTCCGCTTTCATTTTCTACGACAAACTCAATATTATCACCTCATTAATAAAGATATTAGATTTCTTTATTAAATCAACCTACCTCAAGTTCTTGTTTTAAACTCTGCACGGCTGCCTTATCTTTTGCTACCGCGCTACTATCTTTTAACGTCTTAACCTTTTCATCGTCTATCTTCGCGATCTTCTCCTGGTATTCTTTTTGGATGTCTTCCCTGAGCGTCTGCATCAAATCATACAGTTTCTATAAACTTAAATGCACTTTATCAGTACCAAACAGTACCAAAACTACTTACTTTTATTTCGTCGTCTTGTTTCTTCAGAACGTTCTTAGCGAATTCTGTTTGCTTATTGAATGTCGCTTTCTCAAATTCAAATTCCATTCTTTTCTGTTTTAATAATGCCGTTTCTTCTTCAAGCGTCTAAACACATATCACAACGTTAATCAGAAACTGCAACTCGATTATCGATATTTGACTATCGAAATTGCAATTCGATATATCTTGGATACTTTACTCACCGCCGTCATTTGTTTTAGTCTTGCTTCCAACATTCTAACAATATCTCGGCTTTCATTCTTTTCAATATCGAAATTTTCCCGCTCCCTTTTCAAGTGTTGTATCATATCTTTAAAAAAAAAACGCGAATTTTTTAACATGTACATGTTGATACATGTCATTTATTATCTGATTTTAACATTTTATTTATTTATTCGGTAGATTAGTTCAGAGCTGTCAGAGCTGGTCGATTTAAGCGGTTGTCGATTGAGACATGAAGTCTGAAGTATCACGGAACTCATTACCGTTTCATGGCTGGAGCGAGGCAGGATCGTGGTACAAAACTGTGTTTTTTTTTCTCCTACCTATGCTGATAGCCTTGAAAGGCTATTTCAGCTTCTCCTTGACGTGTAGGTGAGCCTACGGGGCTCAAACCGGGAATGTTGCTAACACTGGCCCTAGCAATAGCAGTGCTTCGCAGAGCCTACCACCGGATCGGAAACGGAACCCATTGAGAAGATCCGGCGAGAAACTCAGTGGGCTGTGTTTGTGGGCTTACTCGTCGAGCCCTTCGTATCAAGGGACGGGTTCGGCGAGAACGGTGACCGGTGCTTGTGGTGCCTAAAAGCACGTTAATGGATCGGGAGGAAACCGTGTTCCCGATACGAACAAACCTTAATAAGGTCAGTAACCAAACCTAGATATTTTCATACAACATGCACAACAACACGTGCAATTACGAAATGAAATAAAATAAGATTTATCAGACGTTGCAGTTTACGTCCTCACAAGAAACGCTTTTGTGTCTGTAATTTACGACAGTGGGTGTAAGCTTTTGTAATTATAGTTCTTTTAGTACAACACGTACCTACAGCCTTACATTTTATGATAACCGGCCATAAATAAGTGGTGTTGTAATTTTGGCAAAACTGTCATTAAACTTCCATAGATGAAATATACATTGGACATTTAAAACGGACAACAATGTTTTTGAAATTAACCGATAATGTTGGATATAATATAAAAATAAGTTTTTTTTTTTAAGTACAAATGAGAGATCTTTCCTCCCACGAGTTCTAGAATTAACTTCATAACTGATATCCATGACCTACAAAAAAAAACAAAAACCATAACAAATCACGAACACTGACCGTTAATCTGAGTCTCTCTAGTTTGCAAGCTCTTTTCGGTATCATGGCGATTGGCTTCAGAAAAAGTTTCAACTTTATTAACAAGTAATTGACAGTTCGTTTTAGTCTCCCTGACTTCCGCCACTAAATCACTTAAATCAGACGAGAACGAAACAGAATCCTTAATAAGGATCTGCTCCTGCTTCACGGCATTCCTGTATCAACAAAAATATATTCGTATAAAATTATAAATAACATCAAGGTTCGTGATCAATGAAAACTTCTGTTTGTTACCCGCATTACAATAACTCGTGTTATTTTAAACATGCAACTTGAAAGATTTAAAATAATTTTGCTAAACAATTAACTATTCATTTAAATTATTTATATTCATTTGTTCATTGCTTCGTAAATATGCGTTCGAGTATGAAAATTAAAAATTCTATATTCCAATACGATTGTTGAAGACACGACAATAAAACGTAATTAAAAATGGTCTGGGAAGACTTATTTCGCTGCACGAAATGTAAAGCGCCGTATAACATACGATTGAGACTTCGACCTTATGCCGATATTCAAGGTAACCACCAAATGGCTGATGAGATTTTTCACCCATTAAGGCAGGATTCACGACTAACGCGAGCGTCAACTAATTCCGTCATAATGACCCATAATGATAACTCTTAAAAACGACGAGGCTTAACATCTCCAGTGCTATATCCCGATTAAAATTTGTTTGATTCGTGAAAAGCGAATGTTATATTTGTACCGGCTATTTATTTTCCATATTCTTAACGATTATAAATTGAGATATATTCAATAGTCATATTGAATTACTTGATATTTTCCATAAGGGCGGCGTGGTGTTCCTGCAAGATCCTTACGTTGTCCAAATGCTGATGTCTCAGCATGTCGTTTTCAGCTTTATGCCTATCGGTTAACGCACTCAAATTATCCTCAGTCATCTTCTTGAATAGCAAGTGATGTTCCTCTAGCCAGCCGATCTTCTCCGAATAGAACTTAACCAGTTTATCGCTTTCCTCCTTCATTCGCTCTTCAGATTGATGCACCGATAGCTCCAAGAACGCTAGTTGGCGCCTGAAAATATCTTAGTACCCAATTTGTGAAAACAAAACAAACCGTTTTCGAACACAATTAATATTGCTACTAAAATACTAAGATAAAAGTAACGCCCTTGGGTTAAAATTTTTGACCCACACTTACCGGCCCATACATATCCCGTCAGATCTAGAGTATCGGGCCCCTCTAATAACCTATCTATACATCCTTTCGGTTATTAATGTTAGACAAATGTATTTTTCTGTTCTTAGTTTCCTTCTAATGTCCTATCGACGTCGTCTACTAAAGGAACGCTCATACAAATCGTGCCTACTCCAGTTTCAATGTGAGTTTCAATTAACTCTTCGTTAAGATATATAAAGTAAAGTCATTCGCTTATCTGTCAAAATTGGCCAGTTAGTTCTTTATCTTTTGAAAGTGAATCACTATATCTTTGTATCTAGATTCATGTCCAAAGGTGTACGATAATATTCCTATATGAAGGCCACCCCCATACGTTGCTCAAGCACTGAAAATAACTTCGTTCGTTTCTCATACCTATAAGACGTTTCCATCAAATCAATTTCTTTATCGTGATTCTCCTGCAGAGACTGAATCAATTGCAAAAGCTGTTTGTTTTCCTTACGTTGAGGCGTTTCTTTACCGTCACCGACATTCATTTCGAAAGCTCCATCAGCGTGTCCCTCTTCATCGATCGTATTCTGAGTTCCTAAGAGGGCCTGAAATTTCAATTAGATTTTCCAAAAACATTAACCAGTGATCGGCAACCTTTGTAAATCAAATGAGCCAACTATAGATACCACACAATTGAAATTTATTCAAAGAGCCATTTTATTTAACTTAAATTTTTTGATAGCCTTGGGTTTTGAAATTGTTTATTCGTTTCTTACAAGGCAAGACAATAAGTAGTCCATGCTTGAACTAAACGTTTCGCGGAAGAACGTAGCCGAGGAGTCAAAAATCCACGGGTTGCCGATCACTGGTCTAAGCCATTAAAAGCGTTGAGAATTTTAGTTATATACGACTACTTCTGTGTGCTTAGCGCGAGCTTTATAACATTCTCGATAGCGTAAAAGTTAACTCAAAGTTGGAACGATTGCCTACGTTTGCCGCTAGGGGCGCTGTTCCAACTGCATACAAATTTGACATAACTTTTACGCTATCGAAAACGTTTAAAAACTCGCACTGAGCACACTGAGCACAAGCTTAACTGTATTTTTTACAGATGCAATAATAAAATACAAAAACCAAATACAGATATTTAAAATGTGGTGAATCTTACATTTTAGTATTATATTCACCTTTATCCTCTGGTTTATGCGTTCTTGATGAGCATTTATGATAGTTTGCATTTGTGATCTGTTCTCTGCTTGCTTCTGCAACATAGCATTCAACTGTGCGTGGTGAGCCATCGCGGCTTGTTTTTGCACCCTCTGGCTTTCTTGTTGACGCACTTACAAAATTAATACGAAATTATAAGCTAAAAATTATCAATTTCAATGTCCCAATAGATCATAAAAATATTAATTAAATCAAATAAAAGAGTAGACCATTGGCAAAAAGCTTAGAATTATTAATTCTGGACTTGGCTCCACTTTGAAACAAGAGAAGTGTTATGAACTATAACTATATTGTAACTGTAACTATACTTGAGACCTTAGAACTTGTATCTCAAGGTGGGTGGCGCATTTACGTTGTGGATGTCTATGGGCTCCAGTAACCACTTAACACCAGGTGGGCTGTGAGCTCGTCCACCCATCTAAGAAAAAAAAAAAAAAAAAAAAGAACTCGTGCGGACGCACGACACGCCCAGGCAACACTAGTACTTAAAGTAAATATGTAGGTATGATGAAAATAACATCTCGACGTAAATGAGATATCACACCTTCAATTATTGGCCGAGCACGGAAATAATACGTTTCTGGCAGGACCTGATCTTGAGGCCTTTCCAGTTGCACCAAGAAAGGTGGGCGAGCAAAGGCCAGGAGGCAGGAGGGGTGGGATTTGCTAACAGCTGCCCGAACGCCTCCGAAGGAGACCTATCACCTCAAGGGAAGCTGCTTCGCGAATGATTCTACTACCGGATAGGAATCGCGACCCACGGAGAAGATCCGGCGAGAAACTCAGCGGGCTGATGCATGGGTTAGGTTGCACGTCGAACTCTTTGCCGAATTTTCTTAATACTAAAATACGTGTGTTCAAACCAAAAATTTGACTTTGGGCACTGTGGTTCTACTGACATTGTCGATATTTAAAAAGGGGAACGAGCCTAAGGGCGTTCAAAGGTACTCATAGCCAGACTGTTAGCTTTATATTGGTATTTTGAGTGGCATGAATGACATCGTTATCGACGACCCACATTCGCCTACAGTTAGACAAAGCCTAAACAAAAATGGACGACAAAAATTGGGTGAAAAAGGCCGTAGACCAAGCGCAGTAGCGCCTATTAAAAGAGTGGATGAATAAATTAATGAAAGGAAAATTACAAAAAGCGACATACATTGTATGGCGGCAAGCTTCTCTTCCTGTGCTTTCAGCTGCAAAGCCAACATTAGCTGAGAGTCTTGCTGTTTTAAAAACAGAGTTGCCCCTTCAGCTGTAATGTCCTCATTATTAGCTTGAATTATAGTCGGTGGTGATAAGTCTGATGATTTTTCTGCAAGAACGGCTCTAGGTTTCTCTGATTCTAAATGATGTTCGGTTTTGTTTTCTACATTACTCTCTTCTTTTACTTCTTTCTTCTCTATATCGTCTTTCGGTTTCTTTTCAGTTTTTTTCTTTTTATCTCCCCCAACTAACCAAGCAGGCATGTCTCCATCATCCCCATCTACTTCAGTATCCTCTTGAAATACTCCGAGCCAATCTGCACCCACTTTTGGTTTTAACTGGCTTTCTTTTTTAGGATTATCGGTTTTATTTGGCTTTTTAAGAACACCCTTGTTAGAAGGTGGCTTTGTATCTTCGTTCCCTAGAAACGTATCTAGATCGAAGTTGGTATTTACAGTGGTCGCTGGTCGATTTTTTGTAACGTTAGACGATTTTGATGTTGGACCTCCCAAAATATCATCTAAGAGAGATTGGCTACTCTTGCCCTTCTCTGGTGCCACTCTGTCATTCTTTGGTTCGTCCAATAAATCTAAAATATTCAAAGCAGTCGCCTTTGCTGGTGATTTAGGAGTAAACTCACTAGTTTTTGTTTTTGTCTCAAGAGGCTGCAATTTGAACGAATCTTTTGAAACGCGTTTCGTAGGACCGGGTGATGTTGTATTTAATTTTGTTTCCCTCGCGTCTTCTTTGCTGAACTCCAATGATACATCTTTAGTGGCAATATCGGGCTTCAGTTTTGTAGCAGGCTTGCCTGCTTGTTCTATTTCAAATAAAGCATTTTTATTTTCTGTTGCTCTAGGATTCGCTTTCTTTGCAGGCTTTTTCTTGCCCAAAATATCGTCATCAAAAAAACTATCATCACTGCCGTCACTCAGGATTCCTGCTAGTGGATCATCCATGTTAAAGTTCATTATCGGAAATAATTATTAGAGAATAGCCCGGATTGGCCCTAACGGTTAATTTTGATTCAGCTTCTTGTTTTAGTTAACACCTTGGTAATCGAAGACAATCATAAGAAAACTATATGAAAATAATGTAATGAGTTAATAAACCTAGGAAACTAAAAAAAGGATTAGTCAGTCATAGAAAAGTATGAAATTATTATCTTAATTGTATTAACTGCTGTTTTTCAGTGTGCGCCTACCTAATCATTAGAAAAGTTTTTGTTTAGAAAATCGCTGCCATGGAAACCAAAAGAAAAAGATTTTTTAAGGTTCTTTTAAAGATTTTAGGCCTGGTAACCAGACCTTTAAGCCAAGTCAGTCCAAGTATTTTCTTCTTAAATTCTGTTGCAATACCAACTACGCGGCGGCGGATAGGTGAGTTTGAAGTCGTCGTGTCTTAAAGGATAAGACGTTCGGTGGACATCTTGCGATGCATCGGAGTTCGAATCCCGGTGATGGGTACCAATTTTTCTAATGAAATACGAACTTTACAAATGTTCACGATTGACTACCACGGTGATGGAATAACGTCGTGTAATAAAAATCAAATCCGCAAAATTATAATTTGCGTAATTACTGGTGGTAGGACCTCTTGTAAGTCCGCACGGGCAGGTACCACCATCCTGCCTATTTCTGCCATAAAGCAGTAATGCGTTTCGGTTTGAAGAGTGGGACAGCCGTTGTAATTATACTGAGACCTTAGAACTTATATCTCAAGGTGGGTGGCGCATTTACGTTGGAGATATTTATGGGCTCCGGTAACCACTTAACACCAGATGGGTGACGAGCACGTCCACACATCTAAGCAAAAAAATAATAATAAAAAAGCTTACGGGGCTCAGTTTGAGAGAACTTGCTAACATTATGCCTAGTAAGAGCAGTTTCTCTGAATCTATAATCGGATCAAAATCGCGACCAAATGAGAAGACCCGGCAACAAACTCAATGGGGGAAAAACAAACGAGATAAAGTTAAACAAAATAATGTCATAGTGTAATGATGGGAATTTACTGATACTTCAGGTTAATTTTTGAAAGAATCGATGAAATCTCACTTGTACAAACAATTAATCGGCCACCATCATTAAATTTTTAAACCTGAAGAAGCACTACATTAATGAAATTTATTAATTCACACAGTTTCACATTTTAGATATATTGGCTACGTTTCCTTTGCCTGCCCGAAGGAAGAGTTAAGCACAAAAAACTCTGTGGTCGTGTTAAAAAATTGTTCGTTTATGTCAGTTTGTCAGTATCGGCTGTCTTCTAATTATTTATTCCAAAACAATATCATAAAATTGCTTTTTTAATTTTTTACAAAATTATACTTAAATTAAACATCACAGTATGGATCACATAGGTGGGAACAACATTGTACCATTTATTTTCGTGAAGTAAAATGAATTTATCAACGTACATCGAGGGTCCTTTTGTTCTAGAAATTTGCTAACTCACGTTTATTTTTATTTGTTAGCATCAGAAAAAGGAGATACAACAGAAAATCAAGATCCAAATTCTGTATCGAATGGCGCAACTANTTAAATTAAACATCACAGTATGGATCACATAGGTGGGAACAACATTGTACCATTTATTTTCGTGAAGTAAAATGAATTTATCAACGTACATCGAGGGTCCTTTTGTTCTAGAAATTTGCTAACTCACGTTTATTTTTATTTGTTAGCATCAGAAAAAGGAGATACAACAGAAAATCAAGATCCAAATTCTGTATCGAATGGCGCAACTAAAATCATGGATAAACCCGTGGTCAACGAAAAAATATTGCAGATAGATCCACCAGCGGAGTGCTCAGCCGGTACATCCGATACCACAGAGGAAAGCGAAGTCTGCGAGATCCCAGAACAAGTCGAATTTACTGTAGTTTTTAACAAAGTGAAACATGATATTACGTTTGCTTACGACGCCACAGTGTTAGAACTAAAAGCTCATTTGGAAAGGATATGCGGCGTTCCGCAATCAGCTCAAAAATTAATCATCAAAGGTATGGCTCGCGATGAAATGACGCTCAGGAAAGCTGGAATAGTCAAAGGAGGAAAAGTTATGCTTGTAGGATCCAAAATGGATGACATATTGGCTGTGAAAAGTGTCCCAAAGGTAAACCTTTATGATAGTTCACATTAGTCATTTCTTGCTCTCCATACACATTAATTGGTTCTATTTCAATTCTTAGGAAATTTTAGAAGAAAAAGCTACAACCCAAACTAGTAAAGAACCATTATGCATGCAAAAAATTCATAGGAAAGTACTTGATAAAGGTATTCCGCCTGATGTAATGCCAGGAATTAAAGGAGTAAAGGTAAAAATTCAATTTAATATTCTTATGCTACAGTAGAGACCATAAAATGTAAATGAAGGTGAGTGGCAGCATTTACGTTGTAGATGTCTATGGGCTCCAGTAACCACAGTAATACATTGAATATTTAATGTAGTCTTGCAAAACATAATCATGATCTTAAGGCTCGAAATTACAATGTAGTGATTGTGCTCTTTGGGAACCATCAAATAACAAGTAGGCTGTTTGCCGTTGCTTTTTAAGTTAATTATCTTTCCACTTGGAAAATTATTTTAATCTATGGTACTACTACTACTTTACCTCAATTTTCTTGTTAAATTGTTATGGATAATGTGTGTCCTAATAGTAAATATTTCACTAAATAACATTTTGAACACAAATTGGAAACCTTAAATTCTTTGAACAAAGCACAATAAGTATTGGAATACTGCCAAATACCTTTCACGAACTGATAAATTTATCTTGACAATTCATGGTTATGTTATTTTGTCATCATCTCTAATGTTTATTCTATCTCTTATAAAAGTTTTGTTTAAACAAAATGAGTGTGTGGTTAATATATTTTTATTTAGTGAGTAACTTCATTAAAACCTTTTATATAATATCTGCAATGAGATTGAGAATTATAAAAAGGTGCATTTTCCTTCTATAATTCCTATTGCTCAATATTTCTAAAATAATAGTTTATTAAACTAAAAAAATACGTTTTTATAGTAAAACCAACTAAAAAATAGATTTTTTTTTTTATAAATTTGTATCAAATATGTGTAAGATTTTTTTTTATTGTATTAATTACTTTTAGTGATCAGTTTAGATTGTTTTATTATAATATATCAGAACTGTAAGACTATGCCAAAATGTTATTGAACTCTAAAACCAACATTAAATATTTTATGTATTTATTGATAGAGAATTGGAATATTTGACATTAACTGGTAAATAAAAACATCTTAGGTGTTACCACTGGTGGTAGGAACTCTTATGAGTCAGCGCGGGTGGGTACCACCACCCTGCCTATTTCTGCCGTGAAGCAGTAATGCGTTTCAGTTTGAAGAGTGGGGCAGCCGTTGTAACTAAACTTGAGACCTTAGAACTTATATCAAAGTGGGTGGTGCATTTACGATGTGAATGACCATGGCCTCCAGTAACCACTTAACACCAGGTGGGCTGTGAGCTCGTCCACTCTTCTAAGCAATAAAAAAAAACCAGAGGCATGCCTGCATGGTCAAGTTTCAATGTAATTTATCAGGAGTATAAGATGTTTTTTCAGGATAAAAGGTAGCCACTCCACAGCCACATAGCCAGGTTACAAGGTCTTGACTAAAACTGTCACTTGAAAAAAAACCATGTCAATTATTAGCTTTGTATCAAAGAGAAAGAGGCATAAATAAACAAATATACATTGATAATATTAAGCATAATTCAAGGGTGGCCTTGATTAGAAAGATGTACTGTTTACTAACGATACCTTCTGCAATCTACCAATAAAATTACCTTAAATTTAATAAAATTTACTAAAAAGATTAATTATTAATTAAAGACACAGAAACATTGGTGGCTGACATTATTAGTATTAGTAATTAATCCAATACTAATAATAGTATTTTTAAATATGATTTTTGAACTTTAATTGGTATTTTTATTTGAAAATGTTTCATTTCAGGAGCCTCTACCACCAGTACCTTTAAGTGGTATGTTAAATAAACATGGCGGTAAAGTAAGATTAACATTCAAACCAGATCAGGATCAACTTTGGTTAGGCACTAAAGAACGTACAGAGAAACTTGCCATGACTTCTATCAAAAGTAAGCCAATGAATATCTTTGTTCTGGTCCATCTGGCTTTTCACGTATTCCTTGTATCTTTAGTAGAGCCCTTATAATAACTTGGTTTCCTTTGTTTTGTTGGAATTGCATTGATTATATATTATGTATTCTAATCACTGTACACTTATGACTAGTAAATTTAATGCTGCTATGTCCCTTATTACCAACCTATAGTGATAAAATAATATATGAATGCTTTCTTGTACCACTACAGGTATCACATCTGAACCTATAAAAGATCACGAAGAATATCACATCATGGTAAGTTAATTTAATTTATTTTTATTTCATATAAATCTAGTACGAGTGAATTAAATAAATAATAGTTTAAAAAAGCTAACAAAATACGCTTTTATATAAAATCCAACGAAAAAATGATTTTATTTAAAAAATTTGTGGGGTGTTTTTCCAGGATATTATCAAAATAACCCTTCTACTTACATCTGTTCGTGAAATATTTATAACTACTGATACCATGCACCCCACGCTTTTTTTACAATAAAATCATTTTTTCTTACATTACATATTTTTAATTCAAATTTATTAAAATTTATTTTCTATTTTTTAGTTGGATTTTCTATAAAGGCGTATTTTGTTAGTTTTTTTAAACTATTATTTATTTTTAATTTTTTTGTTGAATTTAGATCTTTTCAATTTTTTTTTAAATATTGAATGTCAGCAGCCCCTAATAAGTATACCAAATTTCGAGTTAATCCGACGTTTTGAAGGGGGTCAAAATCATGTTCAAAGATACCGTTCATGGAATAGATAAATAAGGTTGGAAAGGCCTTTGCTCTAATTTTGTATTAGAACCAGTGTCGCCGCTTCATCCCCACTATTTTAATTTCTACACATACACATACTGTGATTACAAGTATTTCGCACACAACAAAAACACCCACACATAAATCTCAGGACAGATATTCGTTCGCAAACTAGCTCAAAACACCCGTAGGCATACACACTCACACACGCAAAAAGGCAATAAAAATGTTCATACACGCTAGTGTTTGATAAAATCGATATTCTTTATCGATAAATTATCTGATGAATGAATGGAGAAAATGAAACATGAAATAAATATTGAAAAAAAAACTATTTTACTTTTATTAATTACAAATAGTCACTGTCCCTGGAATAAAACGTATTTGTTAAGCAGTTGGCGTTTGCTATTAATTGCGAATGAATTTTTCAAAACTAAGTGTATTCTGATTTTTTTATGGTAAAATCATTTTCAGTAAAATGTTTAGAGCAAATAGTACTCGTCTTTGTCTCCAGTTTCATCTACCTGTCACGTCAATCCATTGTTCCCTGGCGTTAGGTTCTTTAGGAAACCTAAAATTTTTAATTTATTGCATAAGTCAAATAGCATTTTACTTAGATTTTAATACGTCTTACAATATAGTAAATATCCGTAAATGAGAGGTCTACATGTCCCTTTATATTATACCTTCACATTAATTCAATGATAATAATTCAATAATAATAATACATATTTATTTTACTCAAAATACTTCTCACTAAGAATATACTAGGTATCATTAATTAAATATAAAATAATGCAAAAATTATCCATGTCAAATGTAAATACCTAGTCAGGTCATAAGTATTGTCACACAGTAAAAACTTTTCTTTTAGAATGCTGGCCACAAAAAAGTTTATTGAATTCGAATTTCGAATTGTTCATGAAAATAAAAATGTATACTTTTAGAATTTTACTCATTTTTAAATATGGAGTGGACGCTTGAAGAAGACCGTGTTGCAGTTATTGCGTTGCATCGTTGCGGTTACGCGCCAATTCAAATTTTTAACATACTGAAAAATTTGAATATAACCAAAAGATTCGTTTATCGTAC